CTGTTGAGGTAATCACACAGTTTTTATACTTTATATTGTTGATGTGATGTATCAATTGATTGATTTGCAGATGTTGAACCATCCTTGCATTCCTGGAATAAATTCCACTCCATCATGGTGTATGATCCTTTTCATGTACTATTGAATTTGGTTTGCTAATATTTTCTTGAAAACTTTTACATCTAGGTTCACCAGGGATATTAACCTGTGATTTTGTTTTCTCATAGTGTCCTTTTCTGATATTTGGTATCAGGGTAATGCTAGCTTTGTAAAATGAGTTTATAAGTGATTCATCCTCTTCGATTTTTTGGAAAAATTTGAGAATTGCGATTAATTCTTCTTTAAATGTTTGGTAGAATTCACCAGTGAAGTCCAGTGGTCCTGGACTTTTTTTTTTTTTTTTTTTTTTTTTGAGGAGGGGGGAGGTGGAGGAGAGGGAGGTTTTGATTACTAATTTAGTCTCCTTAGTAGTAATTGGTCTGCTCAGATTTCTTATTCTTTATGATTCAGTCTTGGTATATTAAATGTTTCTACAAATGTATACACTTCTTCCAGGTTGTCCAATTGTTTGGTATATAATTGTTCATAGATTACCTTCTGATTCTTTGTAGTTCTGTGGTATCAATTGAGATCTGCTTTATATATTTAGGTGCTTCTATGTTGGGTGCATAAACATTTACAAATGTTATATTCTTTTTGTATTGACCCCTATATCATTATATGACCTTCTTTGTTTCTTATTACATTATTTGTCTTGAAGTCTATTTTGGCTGATATAAGTATAACTACCTACCTTCGCTTTCTTTTGGTTTCCATTTGCATGGACTATCTTTTTCCATCCTGTTACTTTCCGTCTCTGTGCATCCTTAAAGCTGAAGAGAGTCTCTTGCTTTAGCTTTAACAATCATCTATTTGATGATGATTCACAAATATCTATTTAAGATATACCTCTTTCCCACAGAAAGCTTAAACTCAAAAATGACCAAAAATGAACTCAATTTGCCCTAGAAACTTGCCTTTTCTCTTATATTTCCTATTTCAATCAATGTACCAACATCCTCCCAGTTTTTAATTTGATGCTTTCCTCTTCTTCATACCGTGTTTCCCATCCCATTTAACCCCCAATATTAAATTATGACATCCTATCTTTCCTTTTAATTCTCTTGAATATGTCTTCTCTGTGTTCTCATAAGTGCCACCTTTGTTCACCAACATTAACTATTTCTTCCTAATTGGTCTCCCATTTCCAATATTTTTCCTTCCTAAAAAAAATCATCTGTATCATAACTGGAATGGGCTTTCTAAATTTAAAAGATGTCATTGTCATTTTCTTCTATGTACTGTTTCAATGTGTATTGCCCTTGGGAAAAAATCCAAATTCACCCATCTGTTTTTACAATATGTACCAGTCACTTTAAACATTTTGTGATCCAGGATGATGCCATATTTCTGTCACCTATAGGTCTTTGTACCCCCAATACTTTTGCCAAAAAATACCTTTTCCAAACCCATCTTTGTTGCTAACTTCTATTCGTTTTTTAGATGTCAAGTTAAGATATCACTGCCAGAGAAGTCTTGAAATCTTTTAGACCTGTGATATTCAATATGATAGCCACCACTAAAACACAGCTATTGAGCACTTAAAATGTGGCTAATCTGAATTGAGATGTACTCTACACCAACTTTAAAACTTAGTATTTTAAAATGTAAAATTATCTTATGTACTGGTTACATGTGAAATACTATTTTGGATGTACTGGATTAAAGAAAATATATTATTGAAATTAATTTTATGGTGGTTTTTAATGTGGTTACAATAAATCTCAAAATTACACGTGGCTTGAATTATATTTCAGTTGGACAACACCTAGATTAGATGAGAAGGAGCCCCCTTTTTTCAGTATCCTATAGTTATTTCACTAGTAGCATTTATTATATCAGGTAAAAATTCTAGATTGTATTCTGCACTAGACTGCAGGGATCTAATAAACAAGAGGCTGTCTTATACTAATAGACAAGAGGCTACCTTAGTAAATATGGCCATTTCAATACTAAGGGTGTTAAAATACAGTCAATCCTCATCCTGGCTCAGTTGGATAGAGCCGTGGTCGGCAAACTGCGGCTCGTGAGCCACATGCGGCTCTTTGGCCCCTTGAGTGTGGCTCTTCCTAAGCCTTAGGAGTACCCTAATTAAGTTAATAACAATGTCCCTACCTATATAGTTTAAGTTTAAAAAATTTGGCTCTCAAAAGAAATTTCAATCGTTGTACTGTTGATATTTGGCTCTGTTGACTAATGAGTTTGCTGACCACTGGAGAGCATCCTACAGTACACCAAAAAGGATTGCAGGTTTGACTCCTGGTCACAGCACAGGCCTGGGTTACTTCGATCCCCTGTTGGGAAGCACATACAGCAGGCAATTGATCAATGTTTGTCTCTCGTTCTCTCCCTTCCTCTCTCTCTAAAATCAATAAACATGTCCTCAGTGAGGATTTTTTAAAAAAAGGTTAATCCTCATTATTTATTCATTGATTCCATATTTGTGAACTTCCCTACTTGCTAAATTTATTTGCAACCTCAAAATCAATACCCTAGCTGCTCTGGCCGTCATTCATGGTCATGCACAGGCAGTGAAAGGTTTGTATCATACAACACACGTTTTCCTGGCTGAGGTCAAACAAGGCGATGCTCTGCTTTCCTGTTTCAGTTGCCAAACAGTAAAGTATTTTTCAGTCTTTCAGTGCCACTTTTTCATATTTTCTCTTACTTTTGTTGGTGACTTGGCTGTTTAAAATGGCTCCCATGGCCTGGCTGTCATGGCTCAGTGGTTGAGCATCACCCCATGAACCAGGAGGTCACGGTTTGATTCCGGGTCAAGGCACATGCCTGGGTTGCGGGCTTGATCCCCAGTGTTGGGGGTGCAGGAGACAGCTGATCAATGATTCTCCCCATCATTGATGTTTCTATCTCTCACTCCTTCCCCTTTCCTCTCTGAAATCAATAAAAATATTTTTTAAAAATATAAATAAATAAATAAAATGGCCCCCATAGTGCTGTAGTGTTGCCCAGTGTTTATAAGCACAAGAAGGCTCTGATGTGCCTTACAGAGAAAATGCATGTATTAGATAAGCCTCCTTTGGGCAGGAATTACAGTGCTGTTGGCTATGAGTTAAATGTTAATGAATTAATATATATTAAGTAAAGTTTTGAGACAGAAACACACATAAAACAAGATTATATATTGGTCAGTTGATGAAAATGTTACCAGAGGCTCACAGAACCTAAATCTATATTTCCCCGAGGAGCAATGATTCAGTATTTATTGATTTAGCGTTCCAGTGACTTCACTAAAATTGACTATATTGCCGGATCATTTGATTCCATGTCCAAATCTTACGTGAATGTAGTATATGATGGTAGTTAAAGCAGTGAGTGCAGAGCCAAAGTGCCAATCTTGGCCTTCTGACTTGCTAGCTGTGTGATTTGGGGAAATTAGCTTTACTCTGCTATTTTCCACAACTAAAAACGTAGATCAAAGAATAGTTGTGAATGATTACCAGGGGCTGGGTTTGGGGGAGGGGACCGGCCAAAAAAGGCAGGAGGAAACTTTCAGAATGAGGCAAATATTCTGTATCTTGATTATAGTGGTAATAACGCCTATGTTCTTTGAAGAACGCCTATGTTCTTCAACACTCATAACTAAAAAAGGTACATTTTACTTTCTATAAATTTTAACTTAATAAATCTGAGGCTTAAAATAGTAACAATCAAGGTCAAGATTAAAGGAATACTACACATAAAACATGTAATGTCTCTCCTGCTTACATACTCTTTAAACATTAGCAATCGCTCTAGTAACGATAGACAAGACGGGGTTAGGTGGTGTCAGGAAAAGCAGAATAGGCGCACGAACCAGGGTTCTAATCTGGCTCTTTCTATGTTAGCTAGAGGCTGAGCTGTGCACGGGAGTTCACTTGCTTACTGTAAAGGTGAAGTTAGATAGTACATGTGAAATATCTGGGAAAACTGTAGAGCCACATAGGAATGTGAGAAATGGGACAGTACATGAGAGCTATGCAGTATATCAGAGGGCTCCATAACCCGGGGTGTGGAGGTCACTTTCCAGGGTAAGAACACGTGGTGCGTTGTGAAAAGGGGAGCACATCTCTCTTAACAGCGTTGGTCCTCAAGCCTACATATGTCTCCGTTGGCTCCAGGTCGATTTTGAAGACAACCCAACTGCCCTCAAGAGGTGTGGCCACGCCGCTCGATGGAATGCCGACCCAGGAAGAAAGAAGAGATGCGTTGGGCAGAACCCCTTTCTGGACTGGACAACGTGGTAGGAGTCAGGCAGCATCCGTTTCTACAACTTCCTAGCAGCCTCTGGAGGAAGGAGGAGGGAGGTCATTGCACCGCAGCCTTTTACTTCAAGGGCGTCTTACGGGTTCCCACCCCTGAGTGCGCTGACTCCAGCGGGGCACCCAGAGGCAGTCGCTGCCACAAACTCGTCGGGGAGGCCGGGGTCCCAGGAGGAACCCACAGGTCTGAGCCGGGTAATAAAATACTGCGTTTCGGCTCTTCTTCGAGGAACAGCCTGGGCTTGACCTCCAAGGAGGGCCAAAGCTTGAACCCACAACCCCGTGGGACCCCCGCTGAATTTGCTCGCCTCTAGAGGGCGGACAGCCGTCACGTGACAGCAGACACGCCCCGGAGGGCTGGGTCCACCGGGCACGTGGTTTGGTTCCCGTTAACTTCGACTGAAACCCCAACACGACGAACCTAAAAGTTTGCGGGAGCGCGCTTCCTTGCCGGCGAGCGGACTCTCAGCCACCAGCCTCCAGAAAGCGCTCCTCACGCCGGAAGTGCACTAAGCCGCAGCACGTGGGGTTGCCAGGGCGCTCTTCACGTGACTGGGCGGGGCCTCGGGAACCTGGTAGCCAATGGCAGCCCGAGGGGGCCGTGCCTGTGACGCGCCGGACCTATCCCGGAAGTGGGGCTGAGGTGGGGGCGGGAGAGGGCGGGAGGCCGGGGTGTGGAAAGTGTGGCGGCCCCGCCCCGTGTCTTGGAATT